ATGTTTACCATAAAGACGGTCGGCACACTATCAATCTGTAAGTGGACTTATCTCTCGTTGCAGGCGCTGAGGCTTGGTATTCTATATAAGTACGTCATAGTGATCTTAATTTGCATGTTTTTAACCCTGTGTTATCGACCAATGACTCAAATCTCGAACTGGAGTGCAAGCACGGCCGAATATCAGAGCAATCCCTTTGTGACTTTAATTTGAGGTCTGTTAACATGATTTCCGCTTCTAGATAGTAATACTTACGAAAACAATTAAGTTTTGAAATGCTTTGCGCACTCAACATACCTTTGTCCGATCAGGCGGTCGTGACTTGAATCGCAGGCGACTGGATATGGAACTACGGAACTGCCGGCTAAGACCACCTGCCCCACCGCCACCACCACTGAAGAAACCCGGATTGGAGAAACTGACTCCTTGTTCTGTGCAGCACATAGAGGGGCTAGAGCTGTGGGTTCGAAATGGAGATGACAATTTCAAGCCATGCTCCTCGCCTAACACCACTCCCCCACTTTGGATGCATTGCGCATTGTCACCCCGGACGGAGAAACAGCCACGGTGAAGTCGCTCGACCAGCTAATTAATAATATTTGTGTTGTATTACCCGAAAAGTCTCTAACCAAGAATAGGATTAAGGCATTATTACTATATCAGGTGAGGTGAACGAAGCACTGAGCAAATGAGAGGCAGCGCATTTGAAAAGGTAATAGTGAAACATTTGCCATAATCAGATTTGATTGGCCAAGCTTACCTGCCAAACAATGAAGTAACTCACACCCTTTGACTCCCAGTAGCGATAATAAGCAGTTGGAAGAGATTGAGAGATAACATTTTTGCCGCCTTCTTGGCAGTGCAGACCTAAATCCATGCGCTGATAGCCCCACCAATCAGACCGCACTAAAGAATAATGGGGATTTGTCTGCGTTATAGTCAACTACTCTGCAAACTAATATAAACGCATAACTTGAAAAACAGAAGACTGGAATCACGAGAAATCAGGTAATGTGGAGGGCATTATCTACTCTAATATGGATACACAATAACATAACGCTACTGCATTACCGACACGAATTAAAACATTGACAAACCAACGTAGTAGTAAGAATCGAGTGCACCATTCAAGCCATTATTTGACATTCAGCAAAAATGCAAGAGGGTAGATTTTCAGACACTGATGTTAGCGACAATCATGCATTAGGGATATGAGTTCGGTTAGATCAACGTCATAACCACTTTCTCAACACACAACCCAATTCAACATACGCCAATTGTAATTTCAGGAAGAGAAAAGCCGCAGCCGCAAAGACAAGCGTTCAGTTCAGAGAAACGCGATTTAACTGTGCATAAGTGATGATTTATTGACACCTAGTTACTTCGTATGTACAGAGCTGAAAATTGAATGCTTTTACGACGACTTTTGATGACTTGCTACAGTTGAGGGTTCAGTGTATCAACCCATACTTATTGACCTTGCCCATTGGCTGCTATAGGCAAAACGGGCGCGTCTTAATGACCTCTGTTCTTCCTGTTCCTTTATTTTTGGTGGTTATTTTGTGCCACCACAATTTAATGAATCCAAAAAAGAGCGTGCCAAAACAGATTAATACATAAATTATACTATATGAGAGTAATGATTACCTTAAAAACGCATGCGTCAACCTGTGACACTAAACAAAAACAGGAGAATCGGCACCTTAAGACCTCTAAAAGCATAAAACGACTATATTCTCTGTAAGCAAATTATACATACTAGTGTTCCCAGTGGCGTAATGAGAAGTCTTCTGCGTGAAGTCAATACCCAAAAATGGGTGAAGCACTGATGTAATGGAAGCTGGGATTTGCTTGGAGGAAATTTCAGTCGATGGAATCATCAACAGCTGTCTCCGCAATCCACGTCGCTGGGAGGAGTCCCATGAACCACAAGCGGGAAGACGGATTACAGGAACTCCTTCGAAAGCAGCATCGAGAAGGGGTTCAAGTCGATAGGCGAAGGGATCTGTTATGTCAAAGATGTTGAATACTTGCTCACAAGCCGGACGGATTGGCGAAGGGAAACCGACTAGAAGAGAGTAAGCAAGTGAGACCTCTCACTATCACTTAAAGTAAACAAGCCCGTTACCATTGTTGATCGAAGAAGACTAACACACACCAAAAAATGAATAAAAGTACCATCCCATTCATAAAAAAGAATCTGCTAGAGAATTCAAAACTGTATCGTGGAAAATCAAAGACAAAACTAAGTTCACTTAATAAAGTGCTGGCCCAGGTTGGTGGCAGACTTTGCCCAGGTGGATGAATTTACTTCAAACGCGAAAATTGTGCACGGTTTAGCCTTTGCAAGACCAAGAAAACCGTTCGTCCCAAAAAGTAGACTTTCGAAAATCGGAGAAAAAAAGGACGTGGACAAAAATAAGTGACGACGTAAGAAAATGGAGTATTTGAGGAGCTCGGGTTTTAGTTGGTCTTCAAACACCTTTTTCCATTTTTAGCATTGAATGAAAACAAGCACCTAGAATCATTTGACCCTGATGTTAAACGTAAAATCAAATGAACCACATATACTTACAACCACATCCAACACGGCGATTAGACTGTATTCCTATCCGCTGACGAAGAGACAACAGAAGACCCAGAGGGGATCCCAAAAAGAATACATCTTGCACCTAAAGGAAAGTAAATATCATAATTCAATCAAGCAATTTTGAAGCAAAATACGCAGGAATACCCACATCAAAAAGCAGAGATGAACCATCAGGAATATGCTGAATGTTTTCCAACTTCGTGAAAGCTTCATTCTAAAATTAAAAACCGACAACACAATTGGTAAAATTTCTATTTGGCAAACGGAAAGATATGGCTTAATGTTGACATTATACCAGAAATAGACTGCTGCACAGTTTTTCTTGTGTAAAACCCAAAGATAGACTAACTATTTGATCTTAGAGCCAATTAGTTTTGAAAGCAGCTGCATCAAAGTAGAAATTTACTACAAGAAATCCGTCATTTAACGATTGTACTTTAGGATCCAATGATGTTATCATTTACATTTTATTCTTGAAAAGATTGTCAAAAACATCCCCAGTAAAGCTTTCTAAAACTATTTTCGTAGGATAGCATGCGTCTCCACGAAAACTCCACAGAGCTGACCATGAAGGCTTTAAGGTTGTTGCGTTTGCACTGTTGCCTGACCTTGGCGAAAATCTTTTCCATCATTTTTGGATTAACAGTGCATGTCAAGTGCCACAACAGAAGTGGAAGTCAACAACTAATCTAACAAGGGATGTCTGTGTGCGAAAATGCGACAGCTAGAAGATGATGTGTTCGGAAATTAAAAGACACATCGCACCAATGAAAGGATTAACAAGAGGGCTGTAGCACCAATGATTTTAAGACCCATCAAAGTGCGTTTTCTTAAATGTGTATCACTTTGGTACCTTAGAAATTTGTGAAGGCGTATGTATTTTAAATACTTAAATCATAAAATTTCAACCCTCATTCGTTTTGGTATGCGAATATGTACAAATTTGAGGATGTTCGGAAGGCCATATTTTCACAATCAGTTGGCACAATTATTGGCGTACTTTGAAGTATTCCTCAACGAAAATGAACTGTATTACACTCTGTTACACAACCTTCCCGGTGCTTTATTGACCCTATCCATATTAATACCACAGAACAGCAGACGTTTATACTTTATTCCCACGAATATCCGCTTACAGACACACTTCCGGTTATATGAACTACTTGTCACCCATAACCAACATTCCTCCATTACCAGCGCACGTGATTCGATGTGCTCACTTGTCTTGCTGAGATACTTGAGAGTTTAGCTAAATTTATTCTTTTTAGGTATTTGGCCTGATTATGCCACGAGAAAGTACGCCTGTCTTGGCTTTCCCTTTACATTCGAATGAAGATAATAAGAAACACGAATTGTGACTGTAGCGATAATGGTAAACCCGGTTCGAGGCAAAAGTTTAAGCGGAAGTGATTATCAATAAGGCAACCTTAGTCAACAATCCGCACCCACAGATAAGATAATAATACATATTCGATTTCGTTTACCTACACAACTGTGTCAATCTTACCGCTGACTGTAAATTAAATTAGGTTAGTGTTGTAGCTCCAAACCAAGGGTTTGAGCCGTTTAAAACTCCAGTAACCAAACCAAGGAACAATTATGTATGTACGATGGCTAGGACCCAAAATTACGCATTTATCAAGTGAAAAACGCACATTTCTATTTGCGAGTTCGGGCGAAGACAATAGGTCGTAGAGCATTATGGATCCCAAACTGTCTGCGACTAAACAAACGTTGCCGCTGAAATGAAGGCCGTCGGCAGAGTCTCGGAACTCAATATACGCTCCATTTAGCTGTTGCGCCAACCGATGGAGGTCCTATTTTACAGGTAAATTCAAACTAAATAAAAAGGAAACTTTTGTATCATTAATAATGCTTCCTCGCATTGGGTATTCGATGAGAATGGATTTTGCAAAAATTAGCATCAAATGAACCTATGAGATAGTTTTGTTTGTCATACACGTGTCTCATTACGGAGCTACAATTTTCGGGAAATAAAAGCTAATGCCGATTTGTAAAACGAAGTTACAGTTAATTGGTATGAGAAAAATCACACAGAAATAATTTTGTGGAAACGGTCCAATTACGAACACGCAAGGTGGTGAACAGGAAACACCAGGGCTGACAAGCACCAGTGACAAGAAGAGGAGCTCCACAGAGCCGTTGCAAAGTCAACTGTCACCGTAACAAAACACTGGTTTTCAGAGGCTGTTTAGCTTCGAGACATGATGGCGTAAGACAACCTGGAGAGTGATGAATTATGATAAAGTGGAAGTTGAACATTAGCAAAACCTGCCCTAGGATAGTGAGATGATGTGGTAAGGAGAAGCGGAATGTTTCCGAGGGAGGTAAATTTTCGCGTTGGTCCTACATCTGTCTCAGATGATGTCGACTCCGGCGTTGCAGGGTCGATGCTAAAACATACCGCAAGTACATAAAACAAGCAAAATTCCTTGTACTCAACCAAGACTTTGAAAAATGTCCCTGAAGCTGTGTTTGCTCTTTCGGGAACGACATACCTGGAAGAATCCCTTGAAAACAAATAACGTACTCAAATTACTCAGTGATGACACATCCAAATTAATTGGTCAGTACTCTCTTCGAACTTATGAAACACCATCGTGGAACTCGAAGCCATTTTTTCATTAGCTCCGAAGTGCCAAATTTTTAACAAATATGGACTTTTTTGTTACTATCTTGGAAGTAATGGCTCCTATCGTTCAGCAAATCAACATCCAACGCTAAAACAGTCATTAAGTGAAGCCAATCACTGCCCTTATCGACCAGCTGAAGGTTGCTTTCGTTGACGGGGAATCAACCAGAGGCCATGGGCAATTCATTACATGACACCGGCTCAATGTAAAAACGGAAAATCATTATGTGCATGTCTAAATAGCTAATGGCATTAACCACGCATGAGTTGTAGACCATAAACGCAAGCAACCATGAATTCAAATCACCACCCATTTGTTGCCAAATTCTCCAACAATTTCTTCCGAACCTTACCATGCAAGGACAAACCAGGAAATATTGTATTAAGAGACTGGGATTTGCTTACACCTATCTATAACCAAAAGACTTAGTACGTGAAATAGTTTCGGTGACAGTGGAGACGTTTGAGGCGTCAAGATGGCAAATCCGTTACGACCCCGATTGCTTAAACTTTAGAAACCCAATACAAAGAATAGGCGGACGCGTAAGCTCAGTGCGTGAATGCATTCTAGGAAATTCGAAGAACTTATAACCCAACAAAATGGAGATATAAGTTCCGGCAGATCAAGTTAATGGTTAGCATAAAATGACGTTGATTAAAGTACCTTGCGTAACGGAGGTAGTAAACAACAAAAAGCCAGTTAATAAAAAAGTATAACTCACGTTTTTAACAGCTGATGAATGCCTGTAACTAACGCAGGACACGAAATTGATCTAATAATTAAACGCGATCGAAATTCAGGAAAGTGGTTTGCAACAGTTGACTCCAAAGTTGACCTGAATGTGAAAAATTCAGCGAGTGTGCTGGACTCATCAGTCCTCTTTTCTCGAAGAAAACCTTTAAGGAAACGGTTAACCAAAATTACGGTATTAACAATGCATATTCACAAAATACGCAAGAAGTCTAGCAATACTTCTTTACGATAGGCCAATGTTAATTGAATCAATTGCGTTCTCAAGACTCAATCGAACTGCTCGAAATTACCACGTGCCAAATAAAAGGGTTATGAGTAACGGGAAAAAATATGACATGAAGTTCAAAAAAAACGAATTAGACCATTTAAATGACGTAAAGCCTTTTTGCAGAGGGGATGTTTTTGAATAGCTATTGGATGCCTGATAAAAAATTCGTCTGAGGTGTATCTGACCGTAGACTCAACAGGAAAGGATTAGGAGATGGGACCGGAAATCTTTAATAGCCTCTCCTCTCCTAAGTAGACAAGACGTGGTTTGGTAGCATCCTTGGTTTTGAAAATTTGCGTGACAATCCACGGCTTCCATTCGTAAAGCCAAAACCAGTGAGTCATACAAAATAGATTATTAATGGGAGAAAATTCTATTCATTAAGACAAATAACAGGCATCAGCGAGGACTTCGTTTAGAGCTATGATTATAAACCTGGTCTTTCAGTCGTTAAAAGGAAATTCGATTGCAAGGCGGTCGTTGTTCTGACCAAACCAAGAAAAAAACAGAAGGGTAAAAGAGGAAGTTACGCCGGAGGCAAATTACGTAGAATACGGTAAACAGACGAAATGCTTACCTCCTTGGACGATAAACAGAAGGATATTGGATTGTGAGACTTCCTCAGATGTGAAGCATTGATTTCCTAGAAAATGATAGCCCAATTATTACTCAAGACAAACGGTAAAAGTGTATGCATTTTCAGGATTAATTTTGCACAGCAAAGCTCTTGTTTAGGTATCAAGTTATCGCGATTAGGATACAGAACCCTGAACATTGTGGGAGTCAAAGGAGGTGATTTATTAATCAATTTAAACAACACAGATCAGAAGAAATGAATTCACTATCAGTAATAGTCATGAGGTACCTTCGGAAGCGGTTGTGCAAAAGCCAGGTGAAACCTCACCGTTGATATTTACGGCTAAAAGAGAAAAAAGTGGTCTCAATATCCACGAAACTCCTGTAGCTCGCATTAAGGAAAGAGAACTACCAAGTAAGGAACTAAATCACCCATTGAAAACGAATAGTCGACACTAGAGACGCCTGCTTTAGCATAACTGAAGTGCGTCACCTTTGGCTGACAATAAAAAACCTACGCATTCCGTGTAACTTAGTATTAAATAATTCTAGACTGGCAAAAGGAATCCAGGGCGCTTGAGGATTGAAAATCTTAAAAGCCTGCTATTGACTCGGATAACACTACGACGGCAATACTAGGTCGGCGTAACTAAGTGCACGTTATGAGTAGGTAATTCATTTACCATTTCATAAGCCAATGCTAAAGCCAAATTAACACAAAGGCCAATGGAAAATTATTGGGGTTTTAGGGTTTTGTCTACCTTTTAATAAATCAAAAGGGGAATACGACGCATTTTATACAAAACACAGTACCAAAGGAAGTGAAAAATCTTAAAAATAGTGAATGTTACATCCAGGAGAGTTAATGCACAAATGGTACCCCGTAAAAACATGCCCGGGTTTGTTGAATCACCAAAAGAATACGTGATCCAAAAGCCTCCCTTGATGGTCACACTTAGCAAAAATATGAACTAGACGTCGGTTTGTGTGGCATGGGAGTGTAATTTATCTGGTCACTGATAGAAAAGTGACATAATAGTAAGAAAGAATATTTAAAACAGAGGCAAAGTAATAGGTGACCGATCAGACAAGAAGGCGTTACTGATACCAACCTAGAACTAATACCAGACGTTGGTACGGGAATTAGTCAAGGCGTGTTTCCATCAGTTAGAAAGGGTAGTGCGACATCGACATACACAAAATCTCAAAATAGAGAAAGGGTAGGGAGTTTTGAAGACAACTGAACTGAAAACAACCGAAAGAAGAGCCAATGGAATTAATCCAACCAGGAAGAATGATTTAATTCAGGTCTATACGGTGGAACTGAACGATGGTTATTCGAATTTATCAACATGAAGACGATCAACTTACATCGAGTATCATAGAAGTCCTCATCATCTACATCGGATCCCGGAATGCTTTGAAACATAGAAGCTGTAAGAGAAAAAAAGTAGCAAACAAAGAGGGAAGCAGTGGGATTGTGTCTATTGAGACTTCGCTGGATAACTTAACCTCTCCTCATTGTCCGAAAATTAAATACATTCAATCGGACAATACTACCGACACAACGACTTGATCTCCTTCTTACTGGATGTCTAAGAAGGACCAATTTAACAACCTCATGGTGACCGAATGCTTTAATTTATAGATCACAAACACCGACTGAACTTGACAATTCAGGACCCTCAGATCACAAAGTAGACGAAAGCATGAGTCCCTTGTACTAAATACTTGAGTACCTCTTTTAGTTAAAAGAGGACATAAAAACTGACGTAAAAATCGCTGCTGTTGGCCAAAAGATCATCACATTACTATTACTATACTTTATTTTCAATCAAATTACTGCCGATCACCATTTATTGTTCAAAATGTTATCTTATCTAGAATAATTGAGAAATATAAAAAGCCAGAATAACTTGGATGCCAACACATTTAACAAAGCCCAAATCCTATCCAAACACAAAAATTTATGCCATGAATCCCTCCGCATTCACTTGGTAACCAGATGGAAGCCAAATAATACTAACACATTCAGATAAAGAAAACTGTCTAGAAAACGTATTTACTCACGATTTTTTAAGTTGTAAAAGGGCACCCTCAAGTCACAGTTATGAGGTCTGCAGTTTTGAATAGCCTTAAGATGCTTACTTAATTAATTCTTAATAAAAAGCTGTTGCAAAGGGCAAAACTATTAGTTCTGAATACCAGCCAATTTTACTTCTCATTTACCTTACATTTTATCAGGCCTAATTTATGCACTTTGGTTAGCACAAAAGTAACGGAGACTGACAGGTTACAGTGAGGACTACTACATGAAGCGATCATTTGCCGCAGAGTTGGTGTAGCTTTGGTAGATGCATAGGATAGGAATTTGCACTAACACTGGAGAAAATGGTGCTAGGCAAAGCGCGCAAGGGCAAGGCTCACACATCACATTCCTTTCGAAATTCGGCCCATGAAGCGAACAGAAAAATTGGAAGTTAGGTATTCAAATATGGCATCGGGAACTTTGCAAATACAAGAGGAAAAATACTACAGCTGGAGTAAGAAAGAAATACGGGACTGTTACGAACCAATCAAACTTCCAGCCTGCTAACGAACGATTAGCAACGAACTCAAGGGACGTTTGTTTCCAATTGTGTGAGCTCAAATATATATGGAAAACACAGGCGCAAGATAAAGGGATCCACAAAAAGGATGTGCAACCGAGATTTCAACTAACGTAAAGTTAGGATAATTGCCGACATATAGACCTTTGTATAAACAATAGCTCGATATTAGGTCTTCAAATTTACCGGGGGTTAGGGAAAATCAGATAAATATCCACAAAACCTATAACTGGACAACGACTACGCATTTTTTAGCCCTCCGACACATTACAAATCAGACCGGTGATTAGAAAGGACTGCAGTCACATGCCTGAGGTGTTGGACCAGGAATCGCATAAAACATACCCTGTTCGGACTCCGACGCGAAACTCAAACATGAACCGAAATTCATAGAAGGGACCGCTGGTGCTTCTTCGGTACCACCTTCAACAGCCTTCTTTGCAACTTCCTGACAATGAAGATACACCGTATAGGATAAGTTAAATAGGAAAATGTGTATCTTTAAGTTTTTATCCGTGGTTACTATTGGTTTATAACTTAAGTAAAATAAGAATAAACTGACTATGATCATAAAAATGGAACCTCGATAATCCCTAAGAACTTTCTGGGTGACTATTTTACCAAGACTTATCAAAACTGGTGGTTATCTAGCAAAATTCGCCGGCTTCAGTGATTTCGTAAAAGAAACCAAGTTAGAAATAGAACTAAGCGGGATAATAGAATGGCCTTGTGCTGCAAAAGGGCTTAATTGGGGCGCAAGTTTTTACATGGATTTACTCGATAGGTTTACATTGAAATCCGCATTCAACAAAATATCCCGACTTGAACACAACAATTAGGCCACTACATGACAAATTAGAACAAACAAAAGTAACAATACTGTAGGTAGGAAGAGACTATGTAGATGTTCCAAGAGCGGAACTGATGTTGCCCGGTTCATAACTTGACGGCTGTGTTGTATACAGCAGTTTATACGGCTTCGACTAACACTCCGCCAACACATGACAATGGGAGTTCAAAGTGAAATCAAAACCGGCATGATTTAACATGCAAGAAGAGGGAACGATTTAACCGACCTCGTTTGAAGGGAAGGGAAAGCACAACGTACAACTATTACTGAATTAACGGGGCAGATTGGCAAAGTGCCACAAGATTCCAGTCTACTTACTGTTACAAGTGTCACCAAAGTCAAGAGATGCACAAGAATAGTAAAAAGTTAGCGCGAGGAAGATACAATGGAGAAACGACAACACTCAAACTGGAATACCCAAATTCAATGTAGAATGACATTTAGGCTTAAAAGGCGTTTGGTTAATACGCCAAAGAGCACATATATGATTGCATTGGTCTTAGTTTACCTGAAGTCACCAAAAAAATTGACAACGGTGAAAACAACATTACACTAAAAAAGGATACTAAAATGAATTGCAAAAAAGGCTAACAGTTGAGCAACGAGGTTGTATGTTAAAGGGGAAGTGCAGACTAAACTTGTGTGGGATAAGATATCAGGCCAGAGGTCGGACGTGGTATCAGTACAGTGAGTACATGCAGGAGACGGTTTTTTTTCAACAATGCTAACCTCGTCTTGGCCCATCTTCATGGCAAGAGCTCTGGCAGTCTCGGCTTCGAGTCGTCGAATCTCAGTCATGGTCATACCATACCACTCGTCCTGCCAAGTCCAGGCCTGACGGTGAGCACTGACCATTGTACGGCGAAGAGCTGTAAACATAGTAAAGTATGACTCGATGTAGGGAAAGATTCCTATGAGTGACATTTGGGCATCATTGTGTCAAAATCAAAAATCTTGATGCAATCTCAAGGAACAACAGCACGATCACTTTACAGCCAACAAGTCATAAAAAAATTATGAATATAAAATGCTTGCCAAAAATACAAACCACATAACTGGGAAAAAGCAATATTAATAATAAACCGGAAAATGACATGAAATTGTATTAAGATTGAACAATGTCATGTCCATATTGCGAGAAAGGGTTTGCATTTTAAACATTTGCTATGAGACTGCAACAAAATTTCCTTCATTCGTAAATTTTAGCAACATTTTGGGTTCGGTTACAACAGGGCCAGCCCTTGTAAATCCAATTCTTATCTAGACATTCGACAAAGTTAAGTACCCGGGAATGGAAGGAATAGTGGGAGCAACTTTTCAAAACCACCTTCTCCTGGCATGAGCAAATTGCTGCACCAAACGAAAAACCATGGAAGTGAACATTACATTAGACTTGAGAGAGGTACAGATTTATTCAAGGGAGGCCATGTGATTATTGGAAACGGAAAGATACAAAATCCAAATTTTAGTAAATTCAGGCACTATTTGGTCCTTCTGTGTGTTTCGAAGATCAAAATTTGTTTATAGAACATTTAGCTACACAACTTGAAGTTATTTAATAATGGGATGGGGCAACACCACAAAGCCTCTAATAATTGACATGGTGTTAATAAATTGTACAAAAAATACAACCCATACAGTCAAAGAAAATGCATTTAACAATGTTGCAGGTACGTTCGTAATTTTAAAGTTTAATGCCACATTTTGAAAGGAATAATCAACATAGAATATACAACAAATGGAACATGTCTACAGTGAAATACATGCCTTAATCCTACCACTACCGAATGCGAAGAGATTAAGGCCAATACAGCCATTTCGAAAACACAGAGGTAAATACCATCACAGTCATGGGCGACTACTAATACAATCGCAACCCTATTTAAGCGACAAACAATTGACCCACACACAATTCTTGGCAAAAACAGCACAATGTCGCAAACAACATG